TATATATATATATATATATATATATATTGTGACGTTTTTTCGCGGTGGTAACCTAATTCTTGCGCCGCTTCCCCGCAAACGGAGTTTATTTCACGGGACTCGGATGAGCGTCCGCAAGAAGGCAACGTCGAATCACGGGCAGGATAGAAAAGGTGATCTGGAACGAGCACCGCCGGGCCGAGTCGACGAATACTTTGTCATAATTTTGGGCGCCAGACGCGTAATCGCGTCAAAAATCAGCGTCATTCGACACAACGGGCCGACTAGCTCTTTTGGAAACGGAGAGAGGCTGGATTGAATAAAACTTCGGAATGCAGGCTGTCCCTTGATCTCGCGATAGGAAGCTTAGATGAAGAAAGGAGAATCAGAGTTAACTAGTACGAATTAAGCATTAATTAACAATTTATTACGCGGGTAGAAATGCACGGTAGGATGAATGCAAAATAATACAATATAATAGCAATGATACAAAGAATAATAGAAAAAGAAAAAGGTGTGATACAATATAATATAAAAGCAATGATATAGCAGAAATAATATAAAAGAAATAAAAGACAGAGTAAGCTAAAACCGTATAATAGAAAATAATGCAAACGAAAAGATACGGAATCGACGACGGGTTACGACAAGTAACAGACCGTATTACGCGAGTTAACGAGACAAATTACTTAATCGAAACGATACCGCGAAAGTACAGGACGAGAGACTTTACTCGAGGCTTCCAGCCAAAAGATAACAAGCGCAGGCACAAGAATATCGCAATCGCAGGGCGCAAAGCTAGATGCAGGCTAAGCAGCTAGAGGGTGCAAGCCAATGTACGTGACAAACAATACGCCGGAATAAAATAGCGTGCAGCCGCGCCTTTTCACAAGCCGTAGATCAACACGGACTTACTTGTTTCGCCGATGATCGCAATTTGGTCGAACGGCTCACCTTGCCACGCAGCTTTCGCCGGTTTCGTGTCTCTAGGCCCACAGATAACGTCGAGTCGAGTTCTTAATCTACGCGCATGCACTTGAAAGAAAATACTCGCAATACAGAGCAAAAAGGGTGCGACGTCGGGGCGTGCTTTTACTACCCGAAAAGATACGTGTGTATCGCACAGCTGTTTGCGACCAAAAGCAAGAAGATTTTGTTCAATAAGCGGTCGATACCCCGGGCAGCGCTGAGGTCGCGTGGGGTAGATCGCGGGGCCAATCAGGTCGCAGGATTCGCAGCGCGGCTCGCAAGCTCGCTCGCAGGCGGCAGGATCAGCGGGTCGCGAAATTCGAACGCTAGCAGTGTCTATTATTTTATGATACAGCAGCATAAACAAAAGTAGCAAGCAGCGGGGCGAGATAGCAATCCGTGAGATGCAGCAACGATACAAGCAGCGGGTTCTTGAAACCATGCAGCAGGATGGCTGGAATACAGCACATCTCGGCGTAGACTGGCTCGTCGATGGTTCGTTTCGCCGTTCGGCCCGTTCTGCTAGGCTAAAGCATCGATGTTCCGCTGTGGTCTCTGCATGCAGTCACCTACCCTGGCTCTCAGCGTGACCTTGAGGCGAGACTTCGCGTCTCCGTTCCTTTCTCTCTCTCTCGTTCGGGCATCGACGGATATCCTTGACGAAAAGTCCCACGATGTCCTCAGGACGGTGAGGCGCCGAAATTACATACAATAAGAAAATAAGAAAAATAAAATGCTATTCTAAACGGACGCATGCAAGCCCTGAAGGATCTTGGCGATTATTTTTCAGCTCGTTTCCTTGGGCTCTCGCGAAAATCTTTAACTTTTGTGACGGGGAAAGAGCGGCGCAAATATCACGTCACAACATATATACAGGATGTCCCAGAATTGCCGTACAATCTCTAGTAGGCAGGTAGAAGGAGTAAAACTGAGTCGAAAAGTCCTGAACCATTTTTTTCTATTATTTATAATAAAGGAGTAATTATTGAATAAATCAGGCCAATCAGCGCAGATCTTTAGCCAGGCGCACGTCAGTGAGCCGCGCGCCTGGTGTGTGTGAGTGCTCACTGACGTGTGCCTGGCTAAAGGTCTGCGCTGATTGGTCTGATTTACTCAATAATTACTCCTTTATTATAAATAATAGAAAAAAATGGTTCAGGACTTTTCGATTCAGTTTTACTCCTTCTACCTGCCTACGAGAGATTGTACGGCACTTCTGGGACACCCTGTATATATATATGTATTCACGTGTAATATTTTTCACGTGAATTTTTAGAATTGAAATTACAATTCTTTAAATCATATAAAATGCTAATTTTGCATTTCTTATATGAAGGATCTCGAATACCCCCCTACCTAATTTTTAAAATATTGCAAAAAAGAACTCCTCAGCCACGAATCGATAGATGTACTAAGTATTGTGAGACAAGCTCCAAGTGTCTCGGTGGCATGACAGGGAAGACGACGGATTAAGTTCGGAAAATTTGAAACACCCGATTTTTCTGTCGATTGGTATACTACTGTATTTTGGTGCGTTGATTACGAATATGATAGTGAAAATCACCGACAAGGTCATTTTTAAGGTCGAAACTCAAAAAACTCAAATTATTGCTTTTTTAACATTATTTTGATAAATATTCATAGCACAAAAAGTGTTTCAAATAAAAGTTGTAGCTCTTGAAAAAATATATCATTTGTGTCCTATGCATTTTTTGCATAGAACCACTAGTTTCTGAAACAAATAAGATAATAGGTAAGAGAGTGACTTGTGTGTGCGTAAAAGTACGTATTGCGAAGAAGACGTTCAGTCGGACGGTAGATATTTACAAAAGGTCACCACCCACTGATTTGAATGAGTTTGACATATGTTGTCAAGGACACCTCTCTAAGTAACAATCAAAAGGTTTTAACCGTCGCTCGTTGTTTGTTAAAAAGTTAATAACAAAAAAAGTTTTATAAATAAACTCTTATTTTTCGATTCCATGTATATTTTTTTTGTGTGTAAGTGTTTAGGCATGGGAGGCTACGTCTCCCCGCAGGGGGAGGGGCTTTGCCCCTCCCCCTTGCTCCACCCGTCAAAAAAAATGAAGAAGTTAATTAACAAATACGACTTCCAATTACATTAGCTTTATGTCGAAATTGCCAAAAAAAGTTTCATTAATGTAGCATCGTTGTTCAAACCTGTATGTTTTAGACATAATTTATTATTATGGAGTGGATTCAGAAAAAATATTCCAATATAAACACAAGGTAATATACAGGCAAAACACGAAGAGATGAGCAGGGAAGAGGGGCGAAGTTCCCCTGCCTAAACACATACAACACAAAGAAAATGTACATGGAATCGAAAAATAAGAGTTTATTTATAAAACTTTTTTTGTTATTAACTTTTTAATAAACAACAAGCGACGGTTAAATTCTTTTGATTGTTACCTAGAGAGGTGTCCTTGACAACATATGTCAAACTCATTCAAATCAGTGGGTGGTGACCTTTTGTAAATATCTACCGTCCGACTGAACGCCTTCTTCGCAATACGTACTTTTACGCACACACAAGTCATTGTCTTACCTATCATCTTATTTGTTTCAAAAACTAGTGGTTCTATGCAAAAAATGCATAGGACATAAATGATGTATTTTTTCAAGAGCTACAACTTTTATTTGAAACATTTTTTGTGCTATGAATATTTATCAAAATAATGTTAAAAAAGCAATAATTTGAGTTTTTTGAGTTTCGACCTTGAAAATGACCTTGTCGGTGATTTTCACTATCATATTCGTAATCAACGCACCAAAATACAGTAGTATACCAATCGACAGAAAAATCGGGTGTTTCAGGTTTTCGGAACTGTACTCAAGGCGACGGCCCGGAAAGCCGGAAATTTCAGGTTCGACTCCTGGCTAAGGAGTTTTTTTTGCAATATTTAAAAAATTAGTTAGGGGGTATTCGGGATCCTTCATATAAGAGATGCAAAATTAGCATCTTATATGATTTAACCTTTAGAGGGCCAGAAAACCAATATTTTGGCGCACCAGAATAACTTGTTCAATTTCTTTTTTTTACTAAATATTAATGTTCTTAATATTATTAGCAATTTTTATTATTATTTAATGTCAATTTGCCCGTCCCTCTCCCACTCACCCCGTACCCTTAATTTTTATGTGAGATATTCTAAAACAAATACATGGCTTGATTCGCGTGCGGCTGCAATTATAAACAAATTTATTTTTATTTGGGGTTTTTGAAGTTGCTATTTACTAGTAAAACAATTTGGCAAAATTGTGAATAGCAGATAAAAAATATATTTATTGATTAGGCCTGCCCGTTTATCGTCGTTCGTTCTTGCCATACGTGAGAACGGCGCGTAGGAGCACCTGTTGCCTTGCGTTCTCTGTTAGGTCAGGCTTGAGATACACTTATTTTTTTACTTGTGTTGATACAACATTTTCCGTTACTTTTTATCTTCCTCGTACTTTATTTCTTTTGCTATTACAATGAATACAGGTGATGACAAAGAGGAGTAGTGGAAAGTCAGAGCCTGAAGAAGATGTTATTACAGACAGAACTATTGCTTGTGATGTTGATTTACTTGATAACGAACGTGATGAGAATATACCAGATGTACACTATGATCCTTATTTTTACCCATCTATAAAAACTTTTACTGGTGAAGCACGTATTCGTGATCACGTGTCTCTAGACAAACCTACTCCATTAGAATGTTTGAAATATTTTTTTAATACATTTCTTGTAAATCTGATTGTAGAACAAACCAATCTTTTTCAAGAACAAAATCCCGAACCGGATCGAATACATATGAAGCCGTGGACTCCTATCACTGAAGACGAATTATGAATAATGATTGCTTTATCAATAAACATGGGTCATGTTATAAAAGGGCAATTAAAGGATTATTGGAGCCAAGATCCACTGTTGTACACTCCAATATACGGCGAAAGTCTATCTCGAAATAGATATCTTCAAATTTTACGATATCTTCACTTTTCTAATAATGAAGAAGTTTCCAATCATCCTTTGAAAAAAATCAAACCAGTGATAGATCATTTGAAAGAAAAGTTTGGTAATATTATTATTGCTGGTGAAAAGCTTTGCATTGACGAAAGTTTAGTTTTATAGAAAGGAAAGCTAAAATTCAAACAATTCTTACCATTAAAGAGACACCGATTTGATATGAAGATATTTGAATTAGCGGACTGCGAAACAGGATTTCTCTTAGATTTTATAGTATATACTGGCTCAGACACTGATTATGAGAAATTTGATTTAGGCGTTTCTGGTGATATTGTTGCACATTTCATGCAACCTTATTGTAACGAAGAGCGTGTGTTATACACTGATAATTGGTATACATCTCCACAACTGTCAGACTACTTACATGACAGAAATACTGGTCTTTGTGGAACTGTAAAAAAAAATCGTAAAGGAATGCCAACTCTCAGTTCAAAGCTAGATCGTGGTGAAACAGAAGTTGCCCACCGATTCTTGGATGGTAATCAAATGGATGGATAAAAAGAAAGTTTATGTATTGACAAGTATTCACAAACACCAGTTTTTTGTAAAACTGGTAGGAAAAACTACAAAACAAATGAAGATATTATAAAACCCATTTATATCGTGGATTATAACAAAAATATGGGTAAAATCGATGATATCGACAGATAATTATCTTTGACAGAATCTATTAGAAAATGTATGAAATGGTATAGAAAATTGTTTTTTTTATTTAATTGATTTGATGTTGATAAATGCCCACAGTTTATTCAAGATGCTCACTAAAAATGCGATTTTGTTTCCTGATTTTCGATTGAGCGTTGTAAGAAATATTTTGCAAGTAAATTATCAATCAAGAAGTTTCATCATTTACATCGCCTGATCTTAGACTGAATGGACGACATTTCCCCAGAAAAATTCAAGCTTCAAATGATGTAAAACGCTATCACGTCAATGTGTTCTATGCACTATACACAAAAAGAGAAGTCGATCATCATATGAGTGTAAAGAATGCTGTAAAACTTTATGCAGTGAACCTTGCTTTGAAATTTATCACACTAAACGATCATTGTCGTAATTTATAAAATTAAAAAAAGCAATAAAAAAATTTAAAAAAAATCAAAAAATAAACAAAAAAAACATAATTAAATAAAAAATAAAAAAATGAAAAAGAAATAAAAAAAAATAAAAAAACAAAAAAAAATTAAAATAAAAAAAAAAACATAATTTTGCCACAGACGGTCCTAAGCCCGTGTTCAAAAGAAGAGGGTGTTTCNAAATCATACGTGATGAAAGGGGTAGTTTTTGTAATATTATAGGGGTTATGTCCAGATGTATTGTGTTTTTGACATTGGATTTTGATTCTACATCGAAAAATACATCGGAAACATATATCTGCATTTCCAACTAAAAAAAATTAAAATTGCGTGATAGAAAGGGTAGTTTTTGTAATTTTATAGGGGTTGTTTTCAGGTTTATTGTGTTTTTGACATCAGATTTGGATTCTACGTCGAAAAATACATCGGAAACGCATATTTATACTTCCAAATTGATGTGAAAGAAATTTTATGTGCGGGCCGATCCCTTCCGGACCGGAAAGCCAATATATTGGCGCTACCCATGATCGACACTTAGTGTATGGTCAATCCATAATATAAGATACCTTTTTTACCACTTTACTAAGGCGGATATGTCCTCTCAAATCCCGGCCCTCTAAAGGTTAAAGAAGTGTAATTTCAATTCTAAAATATTACACGTGAATACACACACACACACACACATATATATATATATATACATATATATACATATACATATATATATATATGCATTCATATATATACATTTTCACATTTATATATGCATTCTTTGGATGAGGCAGATTATGTGAGAAGACGGCGAGATTACGACGACAGTGGTAGCAGCAAGGATCGTGGATGTGATGGGCGTGTATTTATAAAAAGCTCTTTCTAGAATGAAAAGAGACTTTTATTTACACTATGTACAGATTGTTTTTGGTTTTATATAAAAAGGGGCCCTGAAAAGGGCCGTTTGGTGTCGGCCCTGGAAAGAGACTTTTCTCAAGTCTTTTCTTTCCAGAATATTCGAGGCCTGGCTTTGGTTAGCCGCCAGTCGGTGCCCTGGAACCGCTGCGGTGATATCGACGACGATCCGCTGTCGATTGTCTGAACGGCTGCTTCCGTCGAAGCCGGGCGTATGTCCTCTGCCTGGCAGGCCCGTTCTGCGGTGGAGGGTTTTGTTCCTCGCCTCCTAGCCCTTTGTCNAGCCCTGGTCTGCGTGCCGCAGTCGACTCTATCGGCCTGGGTCTGCGTGGAGACACTTCGCTGCCGAGGAGTGTAAGTTGGCGTCGGCGGTCTGTCCCAGGCGATCGGTCTCCTCGGAGGTGTGGTCCGTGGAGGAGGAAGGTC